CGAGTTGGTGTGCGCAGATGATGCGCCCCCGCCGAAGCTCCCCCTTTACGTTGTCGTCAAGTTTGAAGGGTACTCGGGGGGGGAATGGTCGTCTCAGGAGAGGTATAGACGTTGTGTCCCTATTTCTCCCGTCGACACCACCTGGCAGGACGGGGGGACGCAGGTCAGGACGCAGCTGCCCCTTAGGCTCTGCTGGGCAATTACGATGCACAAGTCCCAGGGGCAGACTTTAGCCAAGGCCGTCATTGACTTGGGGCCCAAGGAGGCCTGCACGGGGCTTACTTTCGTCTGTCTCAGTAGGGCGAAGAGACTTGTGGACCTCATGGTAGAGCCCATGAGTTTCGACAGGATTGGTAACCTTGGAAATTCGCCGACGATGAAGGCTAGGCTGCAGGAAGAGGTTAGACTTGGGGAGTTAGCACAGAGTACGAGGGTCAAGTACACGGACATGGGCGTCTTCAGCGCCGTCGCGGGTAACCAATGACGTGAATTGCAAAGAGAAAAAGAAGAAGAAAGGGTCTCTTCCACCTCCCGCGGACGCACACGTCTGACGACAGTTACATCTATCAGCTGTCGCTCGTTTTAGCGACAGCTACTATATCTTTTCCCTTGAACACAACCCGTATAATGAGTACCAATAAGTGAGAGCAAGACGGAGAGAAGAATATGTACTCTAATATCCCATATATTTTTTTGTTTACAGGATACGATATTTTACACTTCCAACAGATTTGAGTAGTCCCCGAGGACGGCTTGGTTGTATCGTCGTATTGTCAACTCTCGACCGGTTTGAGGAACGAAAGAGGACCAAGATGTCGCCGCTGTCCTCACCACGTTCTGTTTGTGTGTGTGACTCCTCGCCCGGTAGATGCTCCACGCGGCCAGCCAGGCTTCCCCGCGATCCGTGTACGTCTGCGGCAACACCACCTCCACCACGGGTCTCACGGTGGGAACGCATACGACGCACCATGTATCGCTGCTTACTTGTGTGTGTGTGTGTGGGGGGGGTGATGTCTTGTGTAGAAAACGTTCTGGTATGTCCCACGCCCCGACCTTGTCGTCGCCCTTTCCACTCGATTTCCGCTCCCGCTGCTTTGTGCTGAAACAATGTTACCTCCTGCCGCCTGTCGGCGCAACTGTTCGCATTTGGACCACACACGCACCAGGTGACGTTGAGCAAAGAAGGCACCTCCGGGGAGGTCGGTCTTGAAGCGGGGGCGCTCGTGCTTTCAGACCAGGTACATGGGCGCTTATTGCTGTTGTTGTTGTTGTTGTTGTTGTTGTTGTTGTTTCGTTCCTCAGCTCATCCTTATTCGTTTGTGTCGCTGCATCCACGACAACCAAGAGCATCTGCCATACATCCCGCTGGTTCTTCGCGCACCAGACCCGACCTCCGTGGCCAACGCGTGGTGTCAATGGTAGGAGGGACACAGGACGTGCTAGTTCTTGCTTCCACACACGCACTTGAGTGGCGTCTTTTCGTTGGTCAGCCGTTTCGTGGGGTCGAATCTAATAATAATTGACACACACGGGAGACACGCGAAGCAAACTCTGGTGTCACCAGATGTAGCATGAACAGCAGTAGTGCGTATCGCCCACACAAGGTCGCCAAGCGTGCCACGGGTCGAGAATTGTTTTTGCTATCACTCGCACCTCTCCCTACGGATGCGCAGGGCACGTGCTGCATCGACGAGTTCGACAAGATGGGCTGCGACCCGCACGCCCTCCTCGAGGCGATGGAGCAGCAAAGGATATCCATTGCGAAAGCTGGTGAGTGTTTTGTGTAGCAGGTCCAGTAATTGAGGGATTTTCGCAAAAGCGGGTGAGGGCAGGTCTAATGAACGGATTTCCGTAGATAGCGTGGGTGTGTGTAGCGGGTCCAGTCAACGGATTCCCGTTACACAAGCAGGTTAATGTTGGGTGTAGAAGGCTCAGTAGGCGGATTTCCGTTCCAAACGCGGGTGAGTGTTGATTTTTTTGTTTTGTTTTTTTTCTCCCATCATTGGAATCTGTTGTCTGCCCCTCTGGCCCCTATCCTCCACTTGTACCAGCTAGACGACCCAACTGGGGTCACATCGGAGGGGGAGGTTGGACCCCCTCCTGCGGTTCCTGCCTGAGATATTTTTATCGCGAGAAGGGTAAGCAACCCGTTCCCTCGCGACTTATGAAGTCGATCAAGTTTACTAACAACGAGCTTTGCAGCGCGTCGCTTCCAACGGAAACTAGGATTTAATTAGCGACAAAAAACTCACTCTGTCGGGACTCGAATCCATGACCTGGCCTTTGGCAGGCTGCGAGGCTACCCACTAGACCATCCGGGGCGACCGGTTCCGAGTGTGGCAATCCATTTGACGGATTTCCGTAGCAATAGCGGGCGTGAGTGCTGTGCGAGTGTTGCAGGTCAGTCCTTCGCGCGAAGAAGCAATCGATGGCTTATTGTGCCCGCTTTGTTAGACAACATAGAGACCATTCGGAAACAAGGTGAACATCCCCAACGTCCCCATATTTCCTAACGGAGTGCTAGTTCCTCTCACCCTTTCGTGCCGCCCGGTACATGACCGTGCTGTTCTTTAACCTCAGGTTTCTTCCTTGACATTTTTTTTGTTTTGTTTCTCTCCCCGCCCCCCTTGCGTCTCCTTCCTCTCCCCTGTTCCCGCAACACGATGATCGTGGCCGAACAAAACTCGGATGATACCAAACACGAGCGCAGGCGTGGTGGCGTCTTTGTCGGCCAGGTGCTCGGTGCTAGCAGCTGCCAACCCAATCGGCGGGCACTACAACCGCGGCAAGACCATCGCCGAAAATCTCAAGGCACGGTGCTCAAAGTGTGTGTGTGTGTGTTCCTTTTTATGCGTTTAGCGCCGGTTGAAGCGCTGCTATGTCCGTTCAACGTCAAAGGTTGTCCGGCACCACTACCAACCAGCCTCCAGATCACGTCTTGCCATCCTGCTCGATTCGACCTGTTAGTTGTACTTGTTACCTAGTGCTCTATAGCTTGCCCGAGGAATACGAGCGTGAGGGTGCCCGCCATCACTCACGACCATAGGACAGTACCCCACGCACCGCATGACCCCCTTTCACGTTTCACCCCACACGCGACCATTGTAACACGACCGTACAGATGAGTGCGGCGCTTCTATCTCGGTTCGACCTTGTGTTCATCCTCCTGGACCGTCCGGACGAGGAGCACGACAAGAGGCTCTCCGAGCACATCATGCGGACACACGCTCTCGCCGCACAGCCTGCCCCCGATCCCGGCGCTCCGCCTTCTTCGCAGAACGCTCCCGGGTGAGAGTTGTGTCCGCCTGGGTAGACGCCAGGGAGGGAGATTGGACGTAGATGTCGTGGTTTGAGCTTTCAGGTTCCTCTTCGTCGAACAGACCGGTCTAGTGGAGACGGCGGTGCAAAGGGGGAGGGTGAGAGTCTTGACGCGAAGTATCGTGGCTTGAACCCCAGATCCCTCCTCTCCAACCGGCACCACTTAAAGCAGTATCCGAGTGTCCGGGGCGGCACTGCGGACAGATTTCTTCGTAGACGCCCTGCGCATTTCTCAACGGGCAACCCGGTGTTGCAGGACAACAGAAACTGCTATGGGCGGGGCTACAACACCTCCTCTCAAACCGACCTTTCATGCTGGTACCTCAGTGCGTTTTGTTTGGCGAGATTTGCGTGCTAGCTTTGGCGTTACGACGTAGTCGTGGTGCCATCACCGGTCGACGTTAGACCTTTGTTATTCCTTCGAAGCGGAGAAGGAGCACCATCGGGAATTCGTCGAAAGAGGTGAGCAGATGGCGAGCGCAGGAGGTCGGGGGGGGTGGCTATTCTCCAAGACGGCGTCCCCTGTTAACGTCTCCCACTGTCCAAATTGATGACGCGCAAATCTCGAACATTCCCTCGCAAGATCGGCTCCTCTTCAAGGGTTGGCTCCTGCATCGCATGCTTGACATCACTGAGACACGGTTAGGATTTTCAACTCTGCTGCCTTCGACATCCAGGAAGACTGAGTTGTCGTTTGGGCAACAAGTATCTCGGACGCTTTTCGAGCCATTTGCCTTCTGGCGTTGGTGCCCTCGCCGTGATACGGCTGTCAGGAGACGTCGGACCGCATTGTGGAGGGCACGATGCGGTAAGGCCCCCCGGTTCTTCGATACGCTCGATGGCGTCCTGTGCCAAATTTGTGTCGGATTTGTTCATGCACCGTTTCGCGCGCTCCCGGCAGTTACAATCACCGGGCAAATAGCGATCCACGTTTCGGCCAGCGGGGTGATGGTGCGGCCACGGGCCGACCGCGAACTCCTTCGGGTCGGCCAAGCTTTGGCGATGGCGCTAGTGATGGTGGAGGTGGCGGAAACGTTGGGGATTATGAGGGAAGAACGCTGTCGCAGCGACTTCGGAGATCAGCAGGAGTGTACAAGGATGACCCGATCCCGACACAGGTGGGAGTTCATGCTGTTAACGGTAGTGGTCGTGTAGATGGTGTGTTTTAATGTTTCTTTCAATAGGGCTTTGGTTGTGGTTTTCGTTTTGTCGTTGCCACCGTGGTTCCACAACGATGGCTTTGTTGGTCTTGCGGATATTGGTAACTGCGTGCTTTGTGCAGAGCTCACACCGGGCAATACAAAGACGATACAATAGACCTCCTGGCCCATTTTTTCTATGTAGCATCGCATCTGTAGATGGCACCCACTCCTTGAAACGAAGGTCATTGCCTCCTCGCAACAAGTGGAGTACACGGCCAGCAACAACTTGTGCGCCGCCCATCGCCCCCGCCCTCTTTTTTGTCGCGTTCAGCTCCTGAAGCGGTACGTGGCTTACGCGAGGGCACATTGCCACCCCACCCTGACCCTCAAGGCCGCGAGGGTGCTTCAGAAGCTGTACCTGACGATGAGGAACGAGGCGAGAGATGGCCGATCCATGCCTATCACCATGCGCCAGCTGGAGAGTCTCGTCCGCCTTTCTCAGGTGTGCGTTTCCTACTCAATGGTCTCGCAGCAGTGGTTTATAGCTCCCCGGGTACCGTAGGCGGCATGACGCAAGATACCACACCGCTTAGACCGATTTTGAAGGCCGACAACTCCACAGGAGATGGCACGTTCTCTTCGAGAGCTTTCCGAAAACAAATCGTTTGATACATGCACCTTCGTCGTGAAGAGTTCGATCCTTGCAAATCGGTTCGAGGGGTGTGCAATCTTGCGTCACCTGCGTTTGCGCCTGCTGTGATTTTGCCTTCCTGTGATTTTTTAGTTCGAAGCTCACGCACTGTGGTGTCGTTGTCATAGCTTTGTTCCGTCGTAAGAAATGAGGCGATATACCCGAGACCTGCCGCAGATCAACTTTGCCGGGTATTCGTGGATACGCTTTGCTTGACGACGTCAGAGGTAAAATAGGTTAGTTGATTATTTCGGTGTGGCCGGTGGATCCATTGCTGTTCGTGCCTTTTCGTGCAGTTACAGCCCATCTACAGTTTGTCCAACCCCAAGACCTGCTTGAACTTCTTTCCCGGGCCTATGACCCTGAGTATCGAGTTTCGGGAAGCTGCGAAGCTACCGTCTTGTTTGTGCTGCGTGCCGCTTGTACCGAATCTCTGACGTCATGGCCTCACCCGTATTGCAAACAAGAAACACACCCTAAGGTTATTTCCACCGTGCGTGGCACCGTGTGTGGCATCTTGTGTCGCCCTAATTGTATGACCTGAGAGTAGTTTCTTTCCGAATCATGTTGACCCGTGGAAGTATTGTCACCCGGTGTGGGGGGTGCGTTACCTTTGGGGGGTCGGGGGTGTTATCTTGGATCGTATAGGGAATGTTGTCATCCCGCCGCATCCCTCCTTTGCGTTGCCACACTCCGCCGCATCGTAGCTGAGCGAGCGATTGCACACCGCTTAGACCGACTTTCAAAGCCCCATCGCTCCTTTCCCAGAGGGTACAAAAACCGACTGATACGTGCAAGGATAGAGTTTGACGAGGTCTTAGCTAAACGCCGCCCTGTTCGGCCGTGGCAGCGCTCCGGGTTGAGTGTACTGCATCGCGGCGGTTTCATGTTCCGCTTGATTTTGACTTTTGATGAGCTGGCACCGGTTTGCGCGAGTGAAATCCCACCGTTCGCTGCTTGAAGTCTACCTGGCCGTTCGTTGCATGTTGGGGGTTTCGCCTGTTGTTGCCTCGTGCCATCATGAACTGCCGATTTCGCAGAGTGACATTCCTGTGCAATTCCTCGTGGCCGTATGCGTGATGCCGTTATGTGCTGCCGCCTGGGTCGAGGACAGGCGAGGGCGAAGGTTGAGCTGAGGGAACACGTGACCGAGCAAGATGCCAAGGACGTGGTGGACATGATGCAGGAGGTCAGTCCGTGCTCTGTGTACGTCGTTCATACCACGCGTGTTGCTGTGTACCACCCGAAAGTTTTGATTCCATGATGTTCCCTCCGTTTCATTCAGTACAAGGGTTTGCCTCCACCTATGCCTTACTTCGTAAATTTGTTGTCGCTACTCCATGCGCGTGCCTGAGCCTTAGCTTGGTGCCTCTGGTGCATTTCTTGTCCTGGCCTTGTGCTCTCCTTGGCATGACACAGTGTGATTTGCTGCTTTCAAAAGGTGTAATCAGGGGAATCATTCCCGCTTCCCATGATTGTGTATTTGGCGGGGTTTCGGGGAAGTTGAATCGATCAAGCAATACGGCCAACCTTTCTCTGCTGCTCTCCCTACACTGCTGCATGCGTTCGGGACCCGTTGCGGTGCTGTTGGTCGGGTACTGCAGGCGCTTCTGGAGGCGTGCGTGACGGACACGGGGGCGATCGACTTCGGACGCTCGGGTGCTACCGGCCTGGCCAAACAGGTAGTGCTCTATAGCGCAACAACGCAGTGGTGGTAATGTTGCACGACGGATGTGTGGCAACGAGTGTGGCAACGAATGAAGTGAAATGACACCCGCGCGTACAGGACGGAGTAGAAGGCTTAACGAACCCTTGTTTTGATGGCTGGGTGAAGGTACGCTAAGCAAGGATAAGTAGCGCCCGCAACGGGCTGTACTTGGAGCATTCAAGGTATCACGAGCGAACCAAACAGGAGGCCGTTCGTCCAAGACGGTCTCTTATCAGGTACACACAGTTGCTGTTGTGTTTCAGTAATCTGGGATAGGGTGCAACAGAGTTCGACTCAGATCAATGGCACCGGGATCCCCTTGTAAGTGCTCGATAGCGGCGGCTCCTAGACACGGATCGATCCTAATAAAATGCTTCTGCGATCAGGTCAGGTATGGCCGGGAGTACAACGTACGAGAGGTTTTTCCTCGAGTGAACGGGCGGAGTTAACTTGAAACCTGAAGCCTGCGAGCATGTATGCCTCGAGGGTGTCACAATACTTCGATCGTTGTGTAACGAGGGACTGGGGCCTCCAGTACCCATCATCACCCCATTGATCTGTCGTTTACGAGAAGAGCAGCATTCATGTTCGCGTCCGACCCCAAGACCCCATTCTTCGCAAAACACGTGCAGAGAGCCAATGGGCAATCGACAACTTCAAATGCGTCGTGTGTACTTTGTCTACGCTATTCTGCCTCCCTCTTTTGCATCAACGAACAATCACGTGCTGTTTTCCCTCCTGATTGTCACTGACTCCCCCAGCACAGGCACCTACATAGCGCAGGTCGAGATCAGCGAGAAAACAAGCGCGGTTTTGATTCGCACTTATCCCTTCCTACGCTAATCTCGGCGCTGGCCCGTTCTTGACCACGGGTTCTTTGTTGCGTTGCGTTTCTCGCGACGTCATAACCAGACAAATCATGACAGCGGCTAAGCAGCATCTGGTAGCATCAGCGCTCTTGCATCGTTCGCCTGCTATTCACATGAGATGGAGATACACCGCGTGCCTGCTGTGATTTTCATGCGCTTCCACATTTACTGCCGTATTAGTCTAACCTCCTTTCACCTCCATCCCCTCTTTGTGCAGGTCCGTACGTTCGTGGCGGCAGTGACCAAGCGGGCGAAGCAGAAAGGGTCGGCGGTATTCCCGCGGCAGGAGCTGATGCAGATCGCCAACGACCTGTCCCTTGCCATCGTGGATTTCGAAAGTTTTCTTGACGTCCTTCGACAGGTGAGTGGAGGGAGCGAGCCGTCCAAGTATCATCGTGCCGGCTGTCAGTACGAGCGAGCCTTGTTGGCCCAGCGTGCGCAGGTAGTTGCTGGAGCGTAAGGTTTTGTCGGCACTACCGTTGCTCGTGGTGGTGTTGTTGGCTTGTTGACTCTGTTGATGCCGTTTACCCATTTCCGCATCCAACCCGGAATAAGGCACAAGGTCCTCTGTGCAATTCTTCACGCCCTCGACCACGAAGTTATCGCTTTCCATGGCCGCATGTGAGAGTAGTTGAGTTCACTGCTGTAGCCGTACTGTGGCGAAGTATTGACACCGCGCGCCACCTACAGGAGGGTTGCTTGACATGACCCGGTTTGGTCCCGGCGTCACCTCACCTTCACCCTCAGTTACCGACCGATGTACCCCGACTGCTCGTCTCCCGCTCGATGACATCGTGGACTGTCCGTTTTGTTCAGGAGTGCTTCCTCCTGAAGAAAGGTCCGCGGTTATTTTCGCTTCAGAGCTCAGACTTCGCGTTAACAGGCTCTCAGTCTTCCCAGCGATAGCGTTGATCGTGCCATCGCTAGGCGATGCGCGCAGGCAAGGACAGTTGAGCCTGTCTTCGTGGCCAAGACTTCGTGAGCAGACATGGCTCGTAAGGAAGCGTAGAATTCGTCGGAGAAGTGTTGGCGTTGAGAGAACAGGCGAAAGTGGCAAAGTAAATATGATGTCCATGAAGGGTGTGCTGGCGTTGCGCAGGAAGAGGCAGTCAGGGCTGGGGTAGACGCCGTGTTTATCAGAGACGACCGTCGACGACGGTTGAGTCAATTCCGCCATATGCCCACTAGCTCCTACAATTGTAGCAGTTTAGGTTTGCCCTTGCATGTGGCCGGTGGATGCTTCCGCATCAAGAGGACGGCGACGCTCTCTCTTCGTCTTCAGGTGTGGGACATTATTGCGAGCCTATGGGGGGGCTGGAATCGCTCGGGGCTGTGCACCTCGTTGTCAGAGGCATCCTCAACAAACGCGTGCGCAGCAGATGATCCCGGCTGCGGTTTGGTTTACGGCCCTGGTCATCTCCCAAAAGCGCACCCGCATACATCCGCACCACTAAGCTACTTCTTAACCCAGTAGGCCGATCTTAAATCTCCCACTACAGCTCCAAAGAACTTGATGACTTTTTCAACATGATAATGATCCACGACCGGGCCTTTGTCCCCCAATGAATTGGAGTTGGCCGGATTCCTCTACCACGACATAACCCCGTCCTTTGGTGGAAGCGGTTTTTTTCTGGGCGCGTCCCCGTCGTCCTTGCCTTCATCCACCTGCAAACGTCGACGGTGCCCAACGAAACAAGGCTCACTTCATGAGGGGGGACCCCGAAAAAGCGGAGCTGTACAAGCGCGCCCAAGATAGCCACAGCTCTACCGAGCACAGCCTGCTCCCTAGGAATCAAGTCCTCACCTCTGACACCAGCGCCACCCACGCTACGTCCAAGCGGAACGGTCCGCCGACCCCGTCTGCGATGGTGAATCCGATCGAATTGAGCTCCATCCCCATGTCCCACTTCCTCTGGATGTCGCGGATCTGGCCCTGTCCCGTCAGCAGAAGGCGGTTCAGGGGGAGGGACACGGTCGCCCACTGCCCCGCGGGGGTCCGCACGTACCCTTGGTAGAGGTCGTTGATGATGCCCGACTGCGGCTCGAAATTCACCTCGTATCTGGTGCGGGGGTAGAAGGTTGGGTAGTGAGGACGCACATTTGATGCCGTGGGGCATATTTCACAAACTTGATTCGTTGGCTGTGACGTATTCGTCGAACCAAAACTTGAAAATATGGCACTTGAACCTAAAAATTTGTATTTGCGTTGTTTGTGTTGTGTTGTGATACAATACTGGTTTAATGACGGTTTGGAGGACATGGAAAGTTATGGCCACGTATCAAAACCTGCATGTGGTGTGACTCGGAGCTCACGTCGAATATGCAGCGGGAGCAAACAGAATGGCGTGCAGGAGTACAAGGATGTAGGTCCGTGGTCAAGGATTATTCCTCCTCTTCCAGGAAAAGCGACCTGCTGCGTGTGCAGGTCCTTTTTGTTCGACATGTACAAACCACCCGAACGAAGAAAATGTGAAAATGGTGCGGCTCGAAGGACCGCCTATGCAAGTTTTTAAGATTATCTAGAAAAAGAATAGGGAGGGAGCACGCAGACCCTATCCCTAACTCTAACCCTAACCCCAAAGCACGGATTGAATACTTTATCCCATATGTTTGCTGAATCGATTTTGCTGCGTGGACTACTGGGCTCGAAAGTATCCGTTTTCTTGACGGCACAAGGAAGTTCTTGCGACTCTTTGTAGTGTTGATCGTTTCGTGAAACACTACCTCAGGAGGTGATCTAGCGGCGTGCGTGTTCGACGGCGTATGACTTTTGCCCATACGATCTGATCAAGCAGAGAACGGATCGAAAAAAAGGCATAGACTGGTTTGGTGTGTTGTTGATATAATGGGTGGGTGTGGAGTGGTCCGGCAGACGGTTTGAATTTGGATTCCCCCCCCCCCATCCCCCTACGAATGAAGAATATGTAAAAGGAAGGTATCCTTGGTTTCTGTGCCCCCGCAGCAGTTTGATTCCTGCGTGTCGAGAGCGACAGCATGATGACACAGCATGATGACACGAATTCGAGGAGAAAGAGAGACACACACACAGAGAGAGAGAGACAGAGAGAGAGAGAGAGGGCCATACACATACACACAGAGCGAGACGCACGTGCAGCAACTGCACTTGCCGTAGGTTATGTGTGCGCCTATCTATGACGCTTGGAGGGGAGGGTTGACATTTGGACAGGTAGTAGTAGTCCTGTGCTGCTGCTGCTGCTGTAATACAAATATATGTAGCTGCTACGCTATAATACCATGTTGGCTGCTGGCAGTGAGTGGGTCCTTCAAGTTCCATGCTAGAGGTGACGTAGGAAGCGTCTGTGGTGGATGACACCAAGTAGTAATAACATGCAGGTGAGCAGGCTGGTGCCTATTGGCTGTTTGTGTGTTCGTGCTGCTGCTGTGGTGCTTGCTGCTGCTGCTTGCTGCTCCGCTGCTGAAGAGTTCTAAAGGCGTTTTGGTTTCCGGGGACGCACCTCCCGCAGCCCAGATCACAAAGAAGCGACATATATGTCCGTAGGTGTTGCCCCCCCCCCCCCCCCCCCCCCCCCCCCCCCCCCCCCCCCCCCCCCCCCCCCCCCCCCCCCCCCCCCCCCCCC